GCATGTTGTCTTCTGGTCCGCCCTGCAGGGGCCTTCTCGTCGATGACGTCATCGTTTCGGCATGCACTCTCGCAGGATGTGAGGGTATTTTGAGCATGAGAGCAGACCCAGCGTAGCGTCGTCATGACGGTTGTGCGATCCGGCCGAGAAACAGATCGCGTAACGGAGTACGAGCAGCTGAAAAGTGAGAGATGCGCCGACATGCGTGAGTGTGTGTGCGCGCGTTTATGGTATGTGGAGTGTGCTGTGTGCGTGTGTGTGTGTGTTGGAGTGTGGTGTGTGTGGTGTGCTGTCGTGTGTGTGTGTGTGCTGTATGTGTGTGTGTGTGTCGTTATGTGTGGTGTGTGTGTGTGTGTGTGTGTGTGTGTGCGTGCGTGCGTTGAGTGTGTTGTGTCTATGTGTGTGTTGTGTGTGTGTGTGTGTGTGCGCGGCGTTGTGTAGTGTGCGGTGCAGTTGTGAGTGTGTGCGTGCGCGCGTATTTATCTATTTAGACTATTATTCAGGCCTTGGATAATCAAAACTTAGGATGTGATGATGAGTGAGACCGGTCTAAACGATCGCCATGCGTGTATGGAGTGCGTTCTGTGTCGCTCTCTGTGTGTGTGTGTGTGTGTCGCTTGTGTGCGGGCGCGCGGCGCGCGGTGCCTGTGTGTACAATGGTGGTGGTGTGTGTGTGTGGTGTGCGGCGGGTGGGTGTGTGTGTGCTGTGTGTGGTGTGTGTGTGTGTGTCTGTGTGGTGTGTGTGTGTGTGGGTGTGTGTCTGTGTGGTGTGTATGTGTGTGTGTGTGCATGTATGTGTGCCGTTGTGTGTATTGTCGTGTGTGGGTGTGTGTGCTGTGTGTGTCGTGTGTGTGTGTGTGTGTGTGGTGTGTGTGTGGCTGTGTGTGTGTGTTGTGTGTGTGTGGTGTTGTGTGTCGTGTGTGAGGAGGAGAGATGGAGAGAGAGAGAGAGCAGGGCGCGTTGCTCACTAGTGAATGAAGAGATTGTCCCGCGTGCCGCTGCGCTGCAGGTATGCGTCTAAGTTAGTCTCTAACGTTCCGTTCTTTTACTCCGGCGCCTGTTTCGTGCTCTGCTATGTTACGCATAGCACCCTTGTGTCACCCCTGGCGTACGCGGCGTCGAGCTTCTCTTCAGCATGCGGCTGAAGACCGACAGGTGTCGCGCGCAGGAGCGTAGAAGTTAAGCATGCCGTGTGTGTGCAACCATTACGCGCGTAGCATTTCCGTGGTGCAGCTAATGACAACGTTTGTCGGAATTTTTTTTTTTCTAGAGGAGCTAATGGGACAGTTCTCACTGACAATGGGTTCGTAGGATTAACGCACGAAGCCATTTACACGAGGCTTTATTCAGGGAATTTTTCATGACATAAATGAGCCCATTTTCCATACCGCAATGGCTTTATAGTCGACTATATATTGAAAAACGGCGGTACGTACGGCATTGTTACCGACAGTAGGTAACCTGTATGGACGACGGTAGCGTACCAATGTGTTACCTGACAGTACATACCTGTATGTTACCGACGGTCAGACCTGCATGCGGGCGGCGCCACAGGGGGGGCAGGGGGGGGGCGGTCGCCCCCCCTGTTCATTTGCCCAGAAAAAAGGACAAGAAGAGAAAAGAAAAAGAAGAAAGAAAGGGAAGTAAGAAGAGAAAAAGAAAAGAAACATCTTGCATTTTGAAATGATGGGTGGGGTGGGCGGTCACCACACCCATCATTTTGCCAAGAAAGGTAAGAGAGATTGCTTGCAAATAATAGGGGGATCGCCAAATGAGTGATGTAGCCTACAAGCACTGGACCTTTCATCGAAAATCGAAAATTAGTGTCGAAATGTCAATCCAGATTATATAAACTGTGCTTAATTTGGTTATTCGGGGGATGTCAAGGTGTTACTTCCTTGGGAGCTCAAGGGGCCGACGTCATTTGTCGAGTTGATTGCTGTTTCCGCGGAATGGTGGCCACACTTGGGGTAGTTAACACTTATAATTTAATTACAACGTTCAGACTGGACTCTCTAAATAGATACTCCTACATGCTATCTTATTTTTTACCTCGCCACGGAGTGGGAGGGGAGGTTATGTGATCGGGTGTCTGTGCGTTGTGTACACGGTCTGAGCGTTGTGTGTGTGAGTGCGGTTGTGTGTGTGTGTTCGTGTGCGTGCGTGCCGTGATGCGTGCGTCGTTGCGTCGGTCGGTGTGGTGTGTGTGCGGCGATTGCGAGTCGTTGTGTCTGATAAATGTGTGCCGGCGATTGATATTTAGCAGGTAGCGAGCGAGGCCAGCCAAAGGGCTGCTTGCTGACTGCGCGGCGGCGAGCAGTAATGTCGCTGGCGTTATTTCGTGGGGTTGTTCGTGTGTTCGTGAGTCGTATGGCATATGGCGTATGTCGCTGGCGGAGGTATGCTCTTTGCCGTGAGTGCCTCTGCTGTTGGGTAGTGGTGTGTATGCGGCGTGGGCGTGTGCGTGCGTTCATCTCTCTCCGGGGTCATTGTTTTTTCTCGCCCCTACATATCAAGATTATTGGTTCAAGGTGTACAGCATAGTTTTAAGCAATCATGGCTTCCCCACAGTTCCGGAGACCGCCCTCTTTAAAACGTGTCCAGTTTCAAGCATTGAATTTCAACGACAGCCTAGCTAGTTCGCGGAGCCCATTTCGCACATAGCCGGTTTCACATACCAAATTCAGGAACATTAGTTCCAGAGACCCTATTTTCATGTCTGAGTTAGTGCAGAGCCCCCCCCATTTTGAACTTCGCAGTGCACATTTACCAGTACCTGCCCTAATTGGGGGGTGAGTCTCCCCCTCCCCGGGGTTTCATCTCCTTGGTTATGTTGCTCCTTGGTTCCGCTGCCACATTTTTTGTCAGCCATTTTGAGGGCTCTTGATTGAGCTAAACTCTGAGAGCTTTCCCGGACCCTGCCAGGGGCTCTGCCCTGGACTCACCAGGGGCACTAAGGCGGGCCCGTTGGGGCAGATTCTAACCGTTGCGCAAAGTGGATTGCGTACAGGATTCTACGAGTACGTACGCCAAGCTCGTTAGGGTGGCGGGGAGTTAATCAACGCCAGCCGTAGCAAACTGCGTACGTCAAATGTTGAATGAATTTCCAGATGTAAAGCCACTATGCCTCCTAGGGATGCTGGGCGTGGTTATTGAGAGGAGGGATGTGTTTGGGGCGACGTTGGGGCCTCAGTAAACCGAATCACACGGTGGGCGAGGGGTATAATAGAAACCAACTGAGCCTTTTGTATGTAAACCATATGGGTCTAGCTGTTACAGGAGTGCTGGGGTGTGATAGGTTGTCTCATTTTCGTTTGTATGATTTGTGCTTCAAGCACTCGATGAAGCAGCGACACGTACGCGTGTA